GGCAATCAATCACAGAGCCCCAGCCAGGTGGGTGGGGCTTCTCTCTACAGGGCGATTGATCTGTGGGCCCTGCAATCGATTGCCCCACAGAGGGAGGTCCAGGCCACTGGCCAGCAATGCTGTGGCCGGTGTGCCAGGCCGGTCAGCAATCACCCCGCAGAGGGAGGCTTCGGCCAGTCAAGCTATTGTACTCCACACTTGTCACCTGCAGAGGGAGGTGATTGGTGGCAGGGGAGGAGGGGCAGCACCATACAGATGGCAAGCAGTGGCAGCTGGGCCAGTTGCTGACAGACAGGGGAAGGAAAGCCCCGATATGCCCCGATCACCAGCCAGACCTAGGGTCCCTACCCGAGGGGTCCCGGATTGCGAGAGGGTACAGACTAGGCTGAGGACACCCCCTTCCCCAATGCATGAATTTCATGCACCAGGCCTCTAGTATAAAAATAATAGTGTTACTTTTTCTGGCCTCCCCTAATTATCTGAAATCACGTATCTGCATCTCTTAAAACAATCACTTACATAAAGAGACATGAGGTATTATACAACAGAGGGATTAAAATGTCTCTGAGAAAATGGACCTGGACCCTTAAAATGTTTTCTTTGACAAGTTGGCAGGATATTAAACTTTATCAGTGGAGGACACTACTATACTGCAGGGCCATGTTTTTCATAAATCAGGTGAATGAATGTTAGTTTGTTCTTGGAATGTTTTCTTTTTTTAATATATTTTTATTCATTTCAGAGACAGGAAAGGAGAGGGAGAGAGAGATAGAAATATCAATGATGAGAGAAAATCATTGATCAGAGATCAAGGCATATGCCCAGACCTAGAATTGAACCGTGACCTCTTGGTTCATTGGTCAGTGTTCAATCACTGAGCACACTGGGATGTTCTTAGAATCTTAACTGTTCTGTTGTTCTATTTGTCTATCCTGGCAAATAGGCCTTGATATCTAATAGTGTAAATCAAGCATGTCAAATTTGTAGCTGGTGCTGGCTGTGATTTGACATACTTTGTGTAAATACTTCAATTTTGTTGTTTTCTTGGCTCTTTTTGTCCTTTTTAATTTTCATATAAAGTTTAGAATCAGCTTATCAATTTGTACAAAACAAAAACAAAAACAAACAAACAAACAAAAAAACCTGTTGGGAGTTTTATTAGTCTTGCACATCTTTTGCTAGGTTCGTACCTGGGTATGTGATGTGTTTTGATGGTATTATAAGTTATATCTGTAGCTCCACGGTTGCAGTTACAGGTTCACGCTGCAGTCTTACTCAGGAGTCAAAAATGTCTTTAATCTAATCTATGTTTACTCAGCTTTATAGAGAGATACAGTAAGTTGTAGCATCTTTATCTGACCTAGATGCCCACTAGCTACCTAAATCCCCTGTCTCCAGGTCATTTGAAATGTATTTCTGATTTCTATATTATTGATATATTAGCTGAATTTCATATTATATGTATCTTTGGGCATGTTTTAATTCCTTTATCTTATTCATCAGTAAAGATTTTCATTAGTTTGAATCCTAGGGCTCTCCTGAATGGTACGATATTCTACAGGTTTACTTAAAGCTATTGATAACTGTTGTTTAATATGTCTAGCTCTACACCTCATATTTTCACACTCCACCTAGGCAGATTATTTTGCTATTTGTACAAATTGAAATACTCTCTGATATCATTTTTAAAATATTAATAAAGACTTTTTTGTGTAAACATTGTGCTAGTGCATTAAGGGGAAGGAACATTGGCTGTAAGGACAGAGCTATAATAAAACCTTGGCTCTGATTTGCTTATTGTGAGAACTTGAGTAAATTATATAATCTCTTAGCCTATTTTTATTATTTGTATAATGGGGTAATAATACTTCACAAAGCTGTTGTGAAGAGCAAATAAGTTAGCACATGTATAATGTGAGGTCTAGTACCTGATACTTAATAGGCTATCAGTAGATTTTAGTTATTTCTCTCCTTTCAGAATCTAGCTCAAATCTTATCACATCTATGAAACTATCAGCTATTTTATCCCCTTTCTTAAGTTTCTTTAACTTTTTATTTTGTCAAAATAATACATTAAAAGGTATATATATAAAATAAAATAAAACAGCTAGTGTTAAGACTTGTAGCAAAATCAGAAAGCAGTGCTTTCCCTAACTCTTTCCTTTGTACCTCCAATTCTACTCCCCAAAGGCAAAACTTAAAAACAAACAAAAAACAGCTTTATCGAGATAAAGTTGACATACAATAGAATGCAGAATTTAAAGTGTACAAATTGAGTTTTGATGTGTTTATACACATGTGAAACCATTACTACAAGCAAGATAGTGAACATATCTGTCACTACCAGGTTTTCTCATGTCCCTTTATAAGTCCTCCTTCTCCATCCCAATGTCTCTTCTTCCCACAACCACTGATTTGTCTTATGCCACTATTAGTTTGTTTGTATTTTCTAGACTTTTATATGAACTGCTTTAATCTGTCTGCTAATTCTGAAATCTGTGTCAGTTCTGGATTGGATTCAATTGATTGTTTTTCTCATTATAGGTTATGCTTTTTTCTTCTTTGTATACCTGGCAATCTTTTATTGGATGCCAGACATTGTATGTTTTACTTTATTGGATGCTGTAGTGAACATGGGTTGCAAATCTTTGAGAACCTATTTTTATTTTTTAGTATTGTGCATGAAAACAGATTAATTCTTTTTCCCCCCATTTATTAAGGTATCACATATGTGTTCTTATCCCCCCTCTATTGCCCTCCCCGTACCTCCCCACTCATGCCCTCAACCCCCTGTAGTCTGTGTTCATTGGTTAGGCTTATATCCATGCATACAAGTCCTTCATCTTTCTCCCTTACCCCCACCCTCCCCTACATCCCTCTGAGGTTTGATGGTCTAATCGATGCTTCTCTGAATCTGGATCTTTTTTTTTTTTATATCAGTTTATGTTGTTCATTATAGTCCACAAATGAGTGAGATCATGGGTTATTTATCTTTCTCTGTCTGCCTTATTTTGCTTAGCATAATGCTCTCCAGTTCCATCCATGCTATTGCAAATGGTAAGAATTCCTTCTTTTTTAGTGCAGCATAGTATTCCATTGTGTAGATGTACCACAGTTTTTTATCCACTCATCTGCTCATGGGCACTTACTAGGCTGTTTCCAAATTGTAGCTATGGTGAATTGTGCTACTATGAACATAGGTGTGCATATATCCTTTCTGATAAGTGTTTCTACTTTTTTGGGATATATTCCTAGAAGTGGGATCACCCTGTTAAATGGGAGTTCCATTTTTAGTTTTTTGAGGAAGCTCCTTACTGTTCTCCACAGAGGCTGCACCAGTCTGCATTTCCACCAGCAGTGCACAAGGGTTCCTTTTTCTTCTCATCCTCACCAGCACTTGTCCCTACTGGGATCAAGCCCACAATCTAGGCCTGTACCCTTGACCAGAATCAAATCTGGGACTTTACAGTCCACAGGCTGATTCTCTAGCCACTTAGCCAAAACAGCCAGGGCTAGAGTAATTATTAATAGCCTACTGTGGATTACTAATGCCTTTCTGGCTGTTTTGTAGTCCTCTTGTTCCTTTCTTTCTCTCCTGCTGTGTTCCTTTGTGAATGATGATTTTCTGTAGTGGTAGGCTTTGCTTCCCTTCTCTTAATTTTTTGAGAACCTCTTAAAGGTTTTTGCTTTGTGGTTGCCACGAGGCCTACATATAACAGTCTCTTTCACGCTGATAGTTTCTCATACTAAAACTCTACCTTTTATTCTCCCACTTTAGGTTTTTGATAATACAGTTTACCTGTTTTTTTTTTAATTGTGTATTCATTCACAAATTATTATAGCTTTAGTTATTTTTAATATTTTTTACTTTTACCTTTATTACTAGAATGAATACTAGTTTGCACCATCATATTGCAGTTCTGAATTTGGCTATATATTTACCTTTACCAGTGTGTTGTATATTTTCATGTTAGTAAGTAATATTCTTTCAAATCAGCTTGATGATCCTTATTTTTTATCTAAGTGTTTATAGCTATAAATTTTCCCTTTAGCGCTGCTTTTGTTGCATTTCATTAATGTTATGTTGTGTGTTCATTTTAATTAATCTCTAAGTATTTTCTAATTTCCCTTGAGATTTCTTCTTTGACCTGTTGGCTGTTGTTTAATTTACATAAGTTTGTGAAAATTTCTAGTTTTTCTTCTGTTATTTATTTCTAACTTCATTTTATTGTGGTTGGAGGAGATATTTTATATAATATCTATCTTTTTAAGCCTCTTGAGACTTAATTTATGGCCTAATATATGATCCACCCTAGGAAATATTCCATGTGCACTTGAGAAGAATTTATATGCTATTGTTGTATGGTAGAGTGTTCCATATATGTCCATTAACTGGTATATGACTTATGTAATATCAGCTCTAATGTTGAAATTCATTTACTTGAAACTTTGAATGTATTGTGCCATTTTATTCTACCCAGAATAAATTTATAAACTAGATTAGCTATTTATTTCCCCATTTTATTATTTATTCTGCTCTTGGGTTTTTTGTTTTGTTGTTTCTTTGCTTTTGTTAATTTTTGTTTTAATAAAGATAAGAACAGCCCTGGCCAGTATAGCTCAGTTTTTAAGCATTGACCTATGAACTGGGAGGTCATGATCGATTCCCAGTCAGGGCACATGCCCTGGCTGGTGTGGCTCTATTGTGTGAGCCAGGAAAGAGACTGCAACCAAGGTATGTGGCCTTCACTAGAATCAAACCTGGGACCCTTTGGTCCATAGGTCGACACTCAGTCCACTGAGCCAAACCAGCCAGGGCCTACTTGGGTTCTTATAAGAAATTTTTGTTGAGTAGAAAATTTTCTTTTAGCACCTTATAAATATCATTCCATCATCTTTAAAGAGGAGTTATCTCTTTAATGTTTGTTAATGGCCAAGTGAATATATCTTTATTTAAAGTAGTATTGGTTAACTTATCTTCTCGTGCTTTTCTTCTATAGGGAATACAGTGAGTAACCTGATTATGATTATACCTCCAATTTTTGGTGCAATTCAGAGTGTTAGAGATGGACTGGAAAAGCGGTACATTGCTGCTTATTTAGCACTCACAGGTATGTATCACACTTCATCTAAAAATAACATACAGTGTTCAGGCTGTTTTTCTCATTCATTCCTAATATTGGTTCTCAATTTTGTGTTGTTTATTAAATTGTTGTTATGAATTAAAACTCCATAAATCTTGTGTTGTTTATTAAATTGTTGTTATGAATTAAAACTCCATAATTGAATGCATTTTTAAAAATATATATTTTATTGATTTTTTACAGAGAAGAAGAGAGAGAGATAGAGAGTTAGAAACATCGATGAGAGAGAATCATCGATCAGCTGCCTCTTGCACACCTCCTACTGGGGATGTGCCCCCTAACCAAGGTACATTCCCTTGACCGGAGTCGAACCTGGGACCCTTGAGTCCGCAGGCCGACGCTCTATCTACTTAGCCAAACCGGTTTCAGCTTGAATGCATTTTTTAAAATCACAAAATATTTCAAGCATACAGAAAAGAATAGAGAAAATATAACAAATATATCCATGTCTTTTATTATGGAGCTTTGTCAGATTTTAGCGCTTTGCAATATTTGTTTCAGATCTTTTTCTTTTTAAAAGAAATAAACTACAAACTATAGGTAAAATTGAAGCTTCCTTTGTTTTCCTACCTGATTTTATTCCCCTCATTCTCCCAGCTCACCTTCCAGAGTTAACCATTATACTGAATTTGATTATACTTTTTTTCATGCTTTTGTATTTATACTGCATTTATGTGTATTGTTAAAAGTATATACTAGTATAGTACTAGGGGCCCAGTGCACAAAATCGTGCACCTTGAAAGGAACTGTGGGCTGCGAGGCTGCAGTGGGCACAGGGGTGGGTCTTAGCCCATTCTCCAAGCCCCCACCTGGCCCCTCCCACCATGGCCCCTGGTTTCCTGTCGGTCTGCAGCCCCACTTCCACTGCCACTGCTCCTATGCACTGATGGCATCGGCCCCACTCACACCCACTGATGGTGTGAAGCCATTGGGGCTGGTGCCAGCAATGGGTGCAAGTAGGGCCGATGCCATCAGCAGGTGCAAGTGGCAGTTGGTGCCCCGATTACCTCTCAGGAGCAAGGGGAGGTGGAGAAGCCCTCAGGGATGAGCAGGGCTGGCACTGGCAGCAAGTTTGAGCATTGGGTGGGACTATGGTGCAAGGAAGCAAAGAATTTTCAGTAACCACTAGAGGTTTGCCTTGCTGACAGCGACCGGTGCCCCAAGCTTGGTCTGGTAATTCCTTCTTACCTGCTCCACCATCCTGCTATGGCCAGCGCCCACCATGTTCCGTGCGCACACCCCCCCCCCCCCAGGGGTCAGCGCATGTCATAACAACTGGTTGTTCAGTTGTTTGGCTGTTCTGTCTATTTGCATATTAGGGTTTATATATATAAATGGTTTGCATATTTTTAGACTTTTTTTTAAAGGACACTATTGTATGTATCTAGCCATCTGCAAGTCTCATATTTCTCTGCTTTCTGTGAGGCAGGGTCTGTGTCTTAGTTGTATCTTTATTATTTGGCAATTTAGAGGTCCTCAATAAATGTTGCATAAATGCATGAATGAACTTTACTAGAACTCAAGGTGGGAAAATCACTATCATGTTATTGCATTGTCATCATAAAGACAAAAATAGCAAAAAACTATGGATTCTATTCTAGTTTGTTTCTTTTATATAACTTTCTAAGCTAAAAATAATCTTTTTTTGTTTTAGCACAAGATAGCTGTTATTTATATATGAGCATAAATACTTCTAAATACCACAAAACTGTAAGCTATAGTGTATCATGTCAGATTCTACCATAACTAAATTAGTAATTGGATGTGAGAGACTTTGATTTCTAAATCTGTTTGTCTATGCATGATATTTTAAGAAAGTTACTTGATTTTTTTCTTCAAAAGGAAGACTTGTCCACAAACTTAGCACTGTGAATTGTTTCCTGAGATGTGTTAAGAATGTTTATAAAATATCAATAGTCATAATCAGTAATAACAATAGGAATAAAAAGATGTAAGGGATTTCCAGGTTGCTTTAGAATAATGGTGGCCTCTAATGTAGAATTTATCCACTCATTTCCCCAAAAAACCAAACAGGTTAAGAAATAGTGTAATTTTTTTTTTAAATAATGTAAATAAAGCCATACTTAACCCACATTTCCAACCTTAAAAGAGAAAGAATACTGTGAACTTCAACTTGTTTTTTAATACAAAATAAACACCACATTCCAATAGTACATCTGATGTTTTAGACTTAGAGAGGTTTGAAAAACTATGTGGAAAAGAGGGAGAGAAGGTGGGGGCCTAAATCTGACAAAAACACCAATAGAAGGAAAAAGCTTCAAATACTAATAAATATAAAATTTCTGAAAACAATTTTGTATTTACCAAAATACCATACATCACAGTACTGGCTAACGATAAAGGACTGAAAGTATGTGAAATCTATGGTGGCAGTTTAGGAAAGGTATCATGGTGCATTATCTGCTTACAAGCAAATCTATTATATGATGAGAAAAAGAAACCAAACTACCATGGACCTATTTCCTCAAGAAGGACCTCAGGCAGGTCCTTGATTTAGTCGGTATTCCAGAGGTGTTCTTATCATAGGACATAACAGCTCCATGCACTTTATTGCCCCTGAAGACCTTCCAGTGGGACAAGATGTGGAGGTGGAGGTGGAAGACAGTGGTATTGATGACACTGATACTGTGTGGGTCTAGGCTAATGTGTATATTTGTGTCTTAGTCTTGAATAAAAACTTAAAAAACTAAAAATAAAAAGTGTTTAAAATAGAAAAAGCTTATAGAATAAAGATGTAAAGAAAGAAAATATATATAGCTGTGCTTTAAGCTAAATGTTACTACAAAAGAGTTGAAATTTTAAAAATATTAAAAAGCTTATAGAGTAAAAAAGGTATAGGAAACCCAGGTTAATTTATGTTGAAGAAGAAAGAGATACTGTATTTTATTGTATCTTTTATGTTTAGTTACACAAATACCATTGTGTAAAAATTGCCTACAGTATTCAGTACAGTAACCTGTTGTATAAGTTTGTAGCCTAGGATCAATAAGCTATACCATCTAGCCTAGGTGTGTAGTAGCTATACCACCTAGGTTTGTGTAAAGGTAATCTATGATATTCATACAGACAAAATTGCCTAACAACACATTTCTCAGAACATATTCCCATTGTTAGGTGGCACATGACTGAAATCATTGTGACTTAAGCCAGTAATTAAAAACCGCGTTATATAAAATAGAATCAAGCCAAAAGAAACCTTTCCCATGAGATTTAATTTTTCTCTTTACTTTCAAAATCACAAATTGTGATTTGTCTTATTCCTTTAAAATAGAAATATGTTCACTTATTCTTTACAAGTGAAGAAACATAATGTGTGAAAACAAAAATGACAAAGTCCTTATCCCCAGAGAGCTTATGTTACATTGAGGAAAAATGAACTTCAAATAAAACCTATTTGTAATTGTATAAATGTAAATGTGTTATTCAATTAAATTATAGATATTGGCAACAATAAAAATAAAATGAGTTCTAAAATAGTGAAAAACAAAACCACATAGAGCAAGAAAAAGTCTATTAAAGACTTATTGTTCGGCTGGTGTGACTCAGTGGTTGAGTATCAATCCATGCACCATAAGGTCTCCAGTTCGATTCCCAGGTAGGGCACACATCCAAGTTGGGAGATCAATCCCCAGTGAGGGGCATGCAGGAGGCAGCCGATCAATGTTGATGTTTCTCTCATCGATGTTTTCAATCTCCCACTCTTCCTTTCTCTTTAAAATCCATTAAAAAATGTTTAAAAGATCTTTATTATCTCTTTCTAAGTCCAATGCTAAAATAGAAAATTACTGAAGTAGAAATGTCAGAGACAGAAAGTCATTTGCTTGGATATGCCTTAAGTTTAATGTGATCATACCTATAGTCTGTCACTGCCAGACTAAAAGTCATCTGAAATTATGTCTCTTGTCAAGGGGGAAATGAGTATACTTCAAATAAGCTAACCTACTTTCAAGATCTAATGATTCTATTCTCTATGTACATAAATTTTTTCATAGCTTGAGTTAGGGACTAGAAAATAAAATTTGTTGAAATCTATTGTATAACAGGTACATGGTAGGTAATCTTCAAGCAGCCTTCATGATAAACATTATTCTTTTTTTTTTAAATATATTTTATTGATTTTTCACAGAGAGGAAGAGAGAGGTATAGAGAATTAGAAACATCGATGAGAGAGAACCATCGATCACCGCCTCTTGCACACCCCCTACTGGGGATGTGCCCGCAACCAAGGCACATGCCCTTGACAGGAATCGAACCCGGGACCTTTCAGTCCGTAGGCCGATGCTCTATCCACTGAGCCAAACCGATCCCGGCAACATTGTTATTCTTATTTTACAGTTGAGGTAACTGAGTCTCAGAGAGATTCAAGCAAGTTGATAACTAATAAGTGATAGGCCTTGGATTCTATTTAAGGTCTCATTCTAAAACCTTTGTACACTCTCCACAGGGTGGTTAGTCAAGTGGGTCAAAAGTAATGTATATCAGAACATATCTTTATTTTATTATAACCTTGAAAACTTTGACTGATAGCATGCCAAAATATTTGAATCAATAGGCTCCAACTCAGTGAAATTCTACTATATGCTTAAGAGACTCTTAAAACTGCAATCAAGTGCTATGAATATAAATACTTAAGTAGAAGATGCAGATGGGACATTGACCTCTTTGTTCCAATTTCATTATTATTTTGACTGCCTCAGTTTTCACTTCAACCATGGCCACCTACTCTTGTTACTTGTTTTTTGGAATGTGCTGGATAATTCCTACAAATGTGGATTTTATTTTAACTTTGATGCCTCCATATTTTTAAAGGGAAACATCATGGTTAAATGTTGGCTAACAGTTATCCTTATACTAATGAAGTGTTTTGTTCTCCGTATGATTGAATCCATCAGTTTGCATGCAAGAGGAAGAAGAGAAAAATACTTAGATTCCTTTTATAAGTATCTCCAGAATTTCTAATTTGTATAATTTAAGGATCAATGAATGTTGTTTTGTTTTCACGTATTTTACATTTGTTCCTTTGGCTTAAATACTTCCCCATTTCTGAATTTTTTAAATTTGTGCCAATTTGGATAACATTTCAGAAAATATGTACCTGTTGATAAATTGTAGCCTGTCAGTAATGAAAATTGGTTTTTACCAATTTTCTCCAGCCAGGCCTGCCTCTTTCAATTCAACCATTTTTTTAAATGAAATAACCTATTTAGAAATTTCTATTTCTTGGCAGGTTAGTCCTAATCTGGATTCTCTGCCTTATAACCAGAATGATATAATTTAAAATGCAAAATTCATTATGTATTCTTCAATATCCATGGGGGTTGGGTTCCAGAACCCCTTCAAATACCAAAATCTGAGGATGCCTAAGTCTCTAATATAAAATGGCATTAATATTTGCATATAACCTATGCACATCCTCCTGTATACTTTTCCCCCCAATTACAGTTTACCTTTAACAAAGATTCATGCAAGAATGGGCCTTCTTTCCCCTGGCTGCCAGCACCGCCTTCGCTCTGGCCAGAGCTGCCTTTCCACCTTTCCATGCTGCCCAGAGACCCAGCATGGCTGGGGTGGCATGGAATGCCTGCGTCATCGCCATAGTGATGACGCAAGCATCCTGCCCCACCCCGGCTGTTTGGTGCATACATATGCAAATAAACCCACCATATTTGGTGGTTAATTTGCATACTTACTCCTGGTTGGCTGGTGGGTATCACAAAGGTATGGTCAATTTACATCTTACTCTTTTATTAGTATAGATTGATTTCAGGTGTACAGCATAGTGGCCAATCACATACCTAATAAAATGCTCCCTCCTATACTTCCAGCACCTGTCACATAGTGATGGCAAACTATTGACTATACTCCCAATACTGTACCCCACATATCTATGACTGTTTTGTAACTACCAATTTTTATTTCTTAATTCCTTCACCTCTTTCACCCAGTGCCCCAAACCCTCTGCCCTCTGGCATCTACTAGTTCACTCTCTCTGTCTCTGAATTCGTTTTAATTTTGTTTGTTTGTTCTTTTGTTCTTTAGATACCTCTGAAATCAATAAAAATATATTTTTAAAAACACACACTGAGTGCTTTGAAATGTCTTATTGCCTTCTTAAGTCATTCTGGCCACTTCCAAAGAATGTAATGCTAATTGTTTTGTTTGTTTGTTTTGGTTTCAGTGGTAGGAATGGGATCCTGGTGCTTCCACATGACTCTGAAATATGAAATGCAGGTCAGTAATGACAAAAAGACTAAATGCTTATTTCTTCTAATCCAGAAACACTTCCAATTTGAGAAGAGAGTATGTTACTAGAAGATAGTTGAAACAGACTTGGGAAGGGGTGGGAATTGAGATTAGTAATCTCTGGAGTTTATCTAGATGCACTAAGTGAAGTAAAGAGGCAAGCAAATAAGTTGTTCATGACAACTGAAGATTATAACTTTTTAACCACCTCTGTATAGGTATATACAATTTTAGAGTCCCACGGAGAAATCTTAAAAAGACAATCAGTTCATCAAAATAATATCGTTTTCTCTTAGATGCTGCATTTTCTCATATCTCTCTCTTACAGAGTTCATTTGAATGGTCTGGTCCCTCTCCTAGCAAGATTTTAGAGCTATGCAAGGATTTTTATTTACTTTCCTTGCTCTAAGGAGGCCATATATCTAGTCCTCAATCTTTTTACCTGTCTTTTCTCCATCACTAACTCAGAAAGTTCTAGAACAGCACTGTCCAGTAGAAATATAATGTCAGCTACATATGTAACTTAAAAAATTTGAGGGGGCACATCAATAAGAACCACATCCTATCTAATAAAAGGGTAATATGCAAATTAACCATCCATCACAAAGATGGCAGTGCCCATAGCCACAAGATGGCAACACCCATCACATACCTAATAAAATGCTCCTTCCTTTCAGCCCCATCCGAATTCCCCAGTCCCAGGGGGGCAGCCACTGAGAGTGGACAGCATGAGTGGCCTGGTGGAATGCTTGCTTCATCACCATGGTGATGAGGCAAGTGTTCTATCCCTGCCACAGAGGGCCTCTGGGCAACGGGCATGGAATGGCCTTGGAGGAGGGAACACTTACCCTGGCGATGAGGCAAGCATTCCTCATCTGGCTGCGGAGGGCCTCTGGAGACCATGAGGCCGGCAGGAGAGGACATTTGGGGGTGAGCAAGCCAGTGGTGGGACAGTTGGGGTGAGCAGGCTGGCAGGCAGAGTAGTTAAGGGTGATCGGGCAGGCAGACAGGTAGTTGAGCGGTTAAGAATCTACGTCCCGGATTGCAAAAGGGATGTCTGACCGCTGATTTAGGCCCAAATTCACAGGGACATCCCCCAGCAGTCAGACATTCCCCAAGAGGTCCCAGATTGGAGAGGGTGCAGACAGGGCTGATGGACACCTCCCACCGCAGTGCATGAATTTTGTGCACCAGACCACTAGTTTAAAAATAAGTGAAATTAATTTTAATATATTTTATTTAACCCAATATCTCTAAAGTATTACTTCAACCTGTAATTAATATTAAAATGTCATAATAAAATGCTTCACATCCTGAAATCAGATATATATTTCATGCTTGCAGTAGATCTTCATTTAGATTAGATTTCTTTTAAGTACTCAATATCCACATAAAATAAAGCTATGGCTACTGTATTGGAGATTGTTAATTCTAGAAGGATTTGTACATACAACAGTCTATAAACTATTAATTATAGCTGCATTAAATGTATAACACATATTTATAAGAAAGTGTCATGTGTGCTATATATGCCATGCTTGACTTGGAGAATATACAGATTATGAGACACTAGTCTGACCTATCAAGCATAAAAAACATTTCTTAACACTTTCTAACTGGGAAAACATGATAAAATATTAAAACTATTTTTAATAAAGTATGACCTATTTATGGTAAAATGGTATAGCTTGGAAAGGATCTATAAAAGTTAAAGACATTCAAACAGAATCTGATTTGAGGACATTTTCATCACCCCAAAGAAAAACCCATTAGCAGTCACTCCATACCACTCCCTCCACATAGCCCCTGACAACCATGGATTTGCCTATTCTGAATATTTCATTGCAGTGAGGTATACAATAAGTAACCTTTTGTGTCTGTCTTCTTTTAGATAGGCCAAATAATATTCCATTGTCTGGATGTACCATATTTTGCTTATCTTTAATATTTATCTATTAATGGGTATTTGTGTTATTTCCATTTTGGGGCTTTCATGCATAATGTTACTATGAACATTCATGTACAGGTTTTTATGGATATATGTTTTTAATTCTCCTGTGTGTATACTTAGTAGTAGAATTGCTGGGTCACTGGTAACCCTGGGCGTAACCTTTGAGGAGCTGCCAGATTGTTTTTCAAAGGTCGCACCTTTTTACATTCCCACCAGCCATTTCTTCATATCCTTGCTATTTCCCATCCTTTTAATTATATCCATCCATGGGTGTGAAGTGGTATCTCACTGTGGTTTTGGTTTGCATTTCCCTAATGACTAATGATGTTGAGCATCTTTTCATGGGCTTATTGATTACCCATATATCTTCTTAAGAGAATATTCAGATCCTTTGCTCATTTTTAATAGGGTTATTTGCTTATTTTCATTGAATTGTAAGTTCTTTATCAGTTCTTGATATTAGATCCTTATCAAATATATGATTTGCAAATATTTTCTTCCATTCTGTTGGTTGGGGTTTTTTATTTTCTTAATAGTATTCTTTGAAGCAAAAAAGTTTTCAGTTTTGCTAAAGCCCATTTTATCTATTTATTTATCTCATATATATGTATGTATGTATGTATGTATGTATACATGTATGTATATGGAGAAACAACTGGATGAATGTGCTTAGATAAGATGTCAGGCAAGACTAGGCATCTGAGTGAGGGGAAGGATAGGCTCGCCTACTTGTGTTGATCAGATTGTGACAAGAATATTCATTCAATTCTGAGGACTAACCTAGTATGTGTTCAAATGAAAGGCACCAGAATGGTGAAAGAACTAAAAACCTGAGGGGAAGGAACTGGGAATACAATCATGTGCTGCTTAACATCGGAATTCGGTCTGAGAAATGTGTCATTAGGCAATTTCATTGGTATGCAAGCATCATAGAGTGTACTTACTAGTATATAAACCTAGATGGTATTGCCTACCACTGAAATTGTATGTGCTAAACTTTTATACAACTGGAAGTGCAATGGGTTTGTTTACATCAACATCATCACAAACATGTGAGTAATGTATGCATTAAGACATTACTTTGGCTGCAATATCACCAGGTGATAGGAATTTTTAATCTTTTATTATAATCTTATGGGACCACTGTCGTATATTAGTTCCATGATTGAATGAAATGTCATTTTATGTTGCATGTCTTCATTTAGTAGGAAGAAGACATGCTCAGTGACCCACACTCAGCTCTAAACACCAGACTCTCTATTCGATGCATATGTTCATGTCTGGGCCTGTTATATTTCCCTCTCTCCCATGGACAATTCCTGTTTGTTCTTTAAAGTCTAGGCAAGGTGGCAGCCCCTCCAGGAAGCCATCCATGGCCCCAGAGCAGGATAGGCACCCTCCATATGTTCTTCCATTTCACTCTGCAGTTCTCTATTACTGCTGGTATCAATGTTTTATAAATATATTTATGCTTTGATTTCTTGATCAGAATGTGAGTTACCTAAGAGCAGGGACTCTGGTTGACCTTGGTGCATCCCTCTTTATATCATGGAGCTGCCACACTGCACTGAATAAATGTTTTATGAATCAGTGCTTAAGGGTTGATATGTTGAAGAGTATTAGTCTTACTCTGTGTGGTCCTAGGGATATTAAAGATAAAGAGACATTTTTCTCAGCATAGGGAAGAATTGTCTAAGCCAGTAGATGGCAAAAACTGCCTTGGAGATCTTGAGTCCTCTGTCCTCAGAGGGGCCCTAACATAGGCTGGACAAACACTTCAGTTCAAAATTCTGTATTTGGTACCTGGGAAACAGGTATGCATAGGTAAAGATACTATTTTTTCCTCAAGGAATCTAGGGTCTAGGAGTAAAGATAATATGCTAATAAATAAAGTGACAAAGGGACAAACAGGGCTCTATGGAAATAGAAAAGAGAAATTAATTATTTAAGGTAGAAAGTTTAGAGATTGGGTTTCACAAAGATGACTCAGACACATGTTTGAATTGCATTGTCAAAAATGAATAGGAATTTACCAGGCAAACTAGAACCCACAGGGATGTGAAAGTGTGGCTGGCATCTCAGGGCAGTAGTACATTATGGTTGTAATGGAATAAGAGTATGTGGTGAGGATGGTGATAGCTAAATAGCTAACATTTGTTAAATTATTGAGTACATGCTCTTGGGCAGGCATTGAAATATATGGCAGGAGATGTGGTTTGAGAAACTAACCAAAGGACAGATCTAAGCCCCTGTGAACCATTAATGGATTTTGAGCAGAGGTGAGACACACTTTGATTTGCATATAAACTTAATTATTGGCAAGGTTATTAGCAGGATAAGAAAGTATTTGGATAGACAAGCTGGCCTTTGATCCTGAGACCTTTGATTCTATGCTATATTGTTACTATCCCTGGTAAAATTTCATTGACAAATTATACAAATTTCTTATTTTCTTCTCCTTTTGGACTACAAAGTTGTGGCTTTACATGCTTGTCTAACCATTTTTCCAGTGATTGAGAAGGAGGGAAGAATCATCAATATTGAAGGACTTCTTCATCTCTTTAATCTAAACATTAAGTAATCTTGAATGTTTCTTGCTGGCTCCTTGTGTTGTCTCCTTTCAGGATAAATTTGACTCAGCTACCTTAAGCCATCATTTGTTGAAATGAAGTAAGAAATGTCATGTTGCCACTTACCTGGGTCTGTGATCAGTAAACCATTCTGCCAGTCTGAATTTAGCTTGCAGCTATAGAGATATTGGAGGCCCAGCTCTGCCTAAAGTAAGCTCAAGCAAATATTGACAGTTCTGTCTTAAGAATGATTTAGAGCTTAAATAGTATTTTCTTCAGATTTATTATTCCTAGGTGGCTACTTGGGTTCCAGTTCTGATTCTACCCCTTTACTGGCTATTTGAGCATAATATGCCACTTAATCTTGCTGAGCCTTAGTTTTCTCATCTATCTAATAGGTCTAATACTACCTGTAAGAGTATTATGAGGACGAATTGACTGGCATATGTGAAAGTGCTAATATAAGATCTGGTAAATATGTTTAACAAATACTAGTTTCCTTCCTTTTTCTTTAGCCAGTCAGAACATCTGAAACCACTATTATTGATCCCCTAGAGGCCCATTGCACAAAGAGATTCGTGCAATAGGCCTTCCTTCCCTTGGCTTCCAGCACCAGTTTTCCTCCTGCAGGCACCCAGGACCCAGGCCTTCGCTCAGGCCAGAGTCTGCCTTCTTTGTCTTTGCTGCTTCACAGCTGGAGTCTGCAGTCTTCACTGTGGCATTCCTCTCCTGTAGATCCCTTCATGTGTGCTCCCCCGCCGCCCCGCCCCGCCCGGCCACTCTGCGCCTAGAGCAGTCACCATCTTTGTCCTTCTAATTTCCATACTCACTCTAATTGGCTGTGGGTGTAGCAGAGGTACAATTTACGTGTTTGTCTATTCTTAGGTAAGATTGTTAGTGATTCATTCCTTTGAGTACTATTAAGTTATGTGTGCCCTTGTGAAGAGTAACATTTTAAGCTATAATATTACTCCTTTTTCAGCATTGATGTATCACATTCTGTGGCATCCAGCCAAGAGCAATACATTTGGGGATGGGATTAAGGAAAACATTAGAGAAGGGGTAGGGGCAACCAGGAATGAGCATGGCCTTCAAATTTAAATAATCGAATTTTAATATTAGAAGAGATTTTTAAATATTAGACCAATATATAAATTTTATCAACGATAAATAGTCCAAGAGCAAGGAGGTAACTTGACTAAAGTTATACAGAAAAAAAAAGACAGTAGGTCCCAATTGTATTTATTATTATTTTGTTTCCTTTGTCTTAGCACTGTGTCTTACATTTATGGCGGTAGGAGTATAAAGGCTTTAAGTTTTTAGAAGTCTTCTCCCAGACTTTTTTCATTTATTTACTCATTCTTTTTTTGTTTTCATTAACTAAAATATACAGTTATTGATAATCTTGGGGATTATCAATAATTAGTATTGTAATGTCTTAATTTTTTCTGCATTTTCCAAGTATTCTTATTGAGCATATATTTTATATTAGAAAAAAATAAATGTTAGTAAAATGTTTACTCACCTAAAATTTTATTTATAATATGAAAATAAAAATAGCTTAAATATTAGGTGATAATGAAAGCTAATTCAGACTTTATAATGTAAACAACAGATATTTTAGGTATAAATACTACCTTTCTTTTTCCTTTGTTCCCAAGTTCAGTGATTGGAACCATCTTACACCAAAAGCCCAAGCCAAAAACCTGTAACATCTTTAATTTCTACTTTCTCATCTCTACAAACACTAAACCCCCTTGATTCAATTTTCATAATAACTCTTGGATATAGCTACCTCTGGCTATCTCTACCACTACCTTAATCCATCATCTCCAACCCAAATTGGTATTCCTGCCTTCCCTATTTATTTGTCACAGTCGAACAGAAGTACTCTTGCTACAAACAAATTAATTGTTTTCATGTGTTGAGCAATATTTTCTAGGCTTTGTATAAGTTCTGGGCATGAGATACATATAGTCCTTGCTCTTCCAGCATATCACTTTTTATAGTTCAAGCTCATAAATTTGAACCACAGGTTTGTGATCTGGCCCCTGCCTACCTCTGGTGACTCATCTTCAGATCCACAACCCACCCCACTCTGGAATAATTTTGCTAGCTATGGTTTTGAAATGACTTCTATTTATATCGCCCAGATTTTAAAGTCCATGCTATTTTAGCATATGCTCAGTTTAATTTAGTTCTTTAAAAAATAAAAATAAACAAGTAGTCAACACCTGAAGTCTTTCAGCTACATATTTGTATTTATAGTTGCCTGATTGGTATTTTCACCTGGCTGTCTCACAAGTACCTTAAACTCAACATGTTGAAAATTATTCTTGTAACTTTCTGTTTTCACAATTTCAGTAAAATGTACTACCATCATCTGAAGTGTTTAGGCAAAACGCTGGGGAGTCATCCTTGGCAGTTTCTTTTCCCTCAGAGTGAGCTTTGTATAAAATCAATCACAAATCCCTGTTTATTTTACTTCCTAAATATTTCTCAATCCTGCTCACTTACATCTATTCCCAATTCTGCTACCTTAATCCAAGTAACAATTTTCCTTAGCATGGACTGCTGCAACTTCTTGGCTAGTCCTCCCACGTCTGCTTTCTCTCTTCAGAACACTGTCCATACAGGATTGGTTTTAGGATAAGTTTAAAGATTAGCAGTAACCTATCTATATAACACTCAGCTTAGTGTCTCACTTGTAATTTAATACATAATAGCTATTATTATTATTATTATTGCTAATAACATTATCTTTCAGAGGCATAGGTTACTTAGATTAACTAAATAATTTTCCTGACCATTAATACTTCTTATGTATATTAGTGGACATTTTATCCATCTTAAGTGCTATAGAAAAGGGCAGAAATGCAAAAGAAAACTGATAGGACCCATAGACCTCTAGATGGTGAATATCATACTTTCCTGCAATTATGATGATATAGTTTGTGATACCAAATGATCTGAGCTGCCCAGTACATCCTGCATTCTACTTAGCTATTAGGATAGATAGATGAATGGATACTCTTGTTTATTTAAAAAGAACTAAATAAATATTCTCAGGGTAAATTAGATAATGATAAATATATAAAAGAATCAATAAAAGATATGAGATAATAAGGTGACCATTTAATCGTGAAATTTTACTTTATTTGCATAATAATTGCAACTCTACAGTATTCACATGCTATTATCTGTCTTTGTTTCTTATAGCTATTGGATGAACTCCCAATGATTTACAGCAGTTGTATATTTGTGTACTGCATGTAAGTATTTAAATTTAAAATTTAGTTATTTCATATATTTTAAAATTCATATTGGCCTCATAGCAAATTAAATTATATAACTAACTCAGTTAATATTACTGAGAGATTATAATAGTGTAAAGTATAATAGTATTTGTGATCTTAATGTAGAGTAAAATCTCCGGGAAGTTACAATAATGTTGTTTATTAACTTTTGTGATATCAATACCCTATAGCCAATTTAGCTAGACTATTACTTAAATTTGACATAACTTACATGATTTGCCTTTCCTTGAGTTATAAATGTATACATGTTTAGGTAAAGATTTTACATATTATGCCATAAATATAATATTTATTTATTTTGTACAAGATAAATGCATATTGTCCCTATATTATAGATGATGAAGTGAAGCACAGAGATGTTTGGTAACTTGTCTAAGTATATGTTGACCTAAGAAATGTCCAAGTCTGTAGAAAGTTTTTACAAGAGTTTGAGCCAAAACTGAGGACAGTTGCTAGGAAGCAAGATATCAAATGCTACAGAGGATTACAGTTTTGAAATTTATTTTATGCATTTGGAACTAGGAGGGAACTAAAGAAGGTTATAGGAAGGTGGGAGAAAGCAAGGCAGGGAATGGATTATGGGATAGTTAAGATGATGTGCTTTCTTAAAGGTGGGTAGGCTTATTTCAAAGGCGTGTTAACCTAGATACACAGACACAATAGACAGGGCTTGTTTAAGGCAAAGATAAACTCTTTACTAAAAAGTTATATGCCTGGGGTGTTACTACCCACCATGACCTGACCGCTTAGGAGTTTATGGTCAAATCATCTGGGAACGTACTTTCTGTAGAGCCATTGTTAGTCCACAGATATAAAGCAGAATTTATGCTTAGGTGACTTAGGTAAGGTCTTGTAGTTAGTGTCAGAGTTGGAAACTGAACTACTGGAAAGGGGACCTGGCCCTAAGCAGGTCTGCCTAGGACTCACTGGTAGTGTGGGGGTTCTTAACTTTGTGCAGGAAAAATTTCACAACACAAGTCCAGGTGAATTTTAGAGGACATTTACTAAAACTGGGGACAGTGAGACAAGAAAGGGCTGGGAAATGAGCCGAGGCTGGTCTGCTTTGGCTCACTAAGAAGTCAGAAAAAGGGTGCCCAGGTGTCAAGTTCAAGGGATTTGCCCAGGATGAACTGCCACTGCCTAGAGTTGCCCTAGTTGCAAGCCTTGTAGGGTCCCTTACAACTTAGTAGATGGATGCCCGTGGGGAAAGAATGGGGTGGGGGAGGAATGGGCATGTTCCTGGAAGGAAGAGCATGTTCTGGGACCTTTATTTTGAGGTATTTTAAAAGCTGGGTAATTAGGGGGGATCTCAACAGGATAGTCATCAGTTTTATGATGATGTACCAAAATGAGATTTATTCTCTTAATTTCATCTATCCTTGGGTGTGGTTAGCAAATGGCACTAATTGGATTTCTGCTGTCTCCCTGAGTAGCGTGATTTAAGCCAGTGGTCACCAACCGGTAGTCTGAGGACAAATGGTGATTCGTGAGGTCCAAAAGGTTGGTGACCCTCTGGTTGAGAAGGAGAAGTTCAAACCATTTGCTCTTAAATGTTTTTGACTTAGGGAATATGGGATTTACTAGGTGGCTGCAAACTGCTGTTTAACTATCTCAGTTTCCTATTCCACCCATCCTGGCTTTATAGCCTGTTTCAACCTTACCTTCTAAATATACGTTCTGTTTCCCAGCACTTAACACATCTCTGAGCCTCTGAGCCCTTTATATGATGGTTGGCTGATTCTTCTCAATATGGTCACCATTGCTAGCTCAAGAATATCTTCTAACGATATGTAAAATTCAGAACAATTTAAAAACATATTATTTTAAAAGTTCTGAAAATTCTTTTTTTCTGTAAAGGGCCAGACAGTAACTATTTTTGGCTTTGTGTGCCTATAATCTGTTGCACCCCTTCAACTTCGCTGTTGCAGCATGAGAGATATGTAAACAAATGGATGTGACTATGTTCCAGTAAATTTTTATTTACAAAAAAAAAACACAAAAAAAAACAGGCTTAGGCTGAGAAATTGCCCTGATCTAGAAAAATACTTCCAGATGAGCTCTTTTACTAAGTCATCAAGTTCCAGAATTTAAAGACAAAAGAGATCTTATAAGTCATCTGTGCCACCACTTTCCTTTACAGAGAAGGAAATAGGAGTTGGGTCCAGTTCCCACAGCCAATTGATTAGTGAACTGAGAGAAGTCTCCTACTGTTTGTATTAAAACATAAGTTCAAAGGTTGGATACTAAACTGATAACCATATATTTGTTTATATATACTTGCTTACTAAATATTTCCTCTATCAGATACTATCCTAGTGACTAGATATCACAGTCTGGTTGGGAGACAGATAAGTAACAAGATGATTATGATATAGTGATATTTTCTTTTCTTTTTTTAAATATATTTTATTTATTTTTTTACAGAGAGGAAGAGAGAGGGATAGAGAGTTAGAAACATCGATCAGTTGCCTCTTGCACACCCCTCTCTGGGGATGTGCCCGCAACCAAGCTATATGCTCTTGACTGGAATCGAACCTGGGATCTTTCAGTCTGCAGACTGATGCTTTATCCACTGAGTCAAACCGGTTTCAGCAATATAGTGATATTTTCTATAATAGTATGTTATTCCTGGATTGTTAGTTGAAAGATATAGGAACCTACTCAAGCTAGTGTGAGATACGAGAGATTTATTTATTGTAAGGACATGAGGAAATTATGTAGGACCCAACATCTGGAGGTAGAGCCTCATTAAACTAGAAGGACAGCTTCTCTCTCTCCCTCCCTCTTTTCTCCATTCCTTCCTCTCAACATGGCTTCAAGTCTTTATGTCTGCTTTATTTTCCCCTCCCTGCAGACCACTTCTCTGCTCACTCATCTGTTGAGCATTCAGTTTGGCTGCCCTGTTGTCAGCATCGGTCTTGGAATCCCTATGGCTTTATACTTTGACTCTCCACGCTTGACTGATTCGGACTCCAGCTTCCAAACAATAAATTTTCAGGGGTGAGCCTCTCATTGGCCCAGTTTAAATAAGGTGCCTACTCCTGTTCCCCCAACCTCTTGGAGGCTGTAGACAGTCCAAGTTCTCTGAGATGAGAGTATGGATGGGAAGACATGATGGGCATCTCTAGACCCAGAAGATTGTATAAGTGGTCAAACAGCATTCTGTTTCTTTTTCTAGCTATATACTCTAAAGCAATTTTCTTTTTCTCTCTCTTTTTAAGGTTTGAATGTTTCAAGACCAAGAATTCAGTAAACTACCATCTGCTTTTTACCTTAGTTCTATTCAGTTTAATAGTAACCACAGTAAGTCATATTTTGTTTCTAACAGCTTGAGCATGTGAACTAGCCTTTTATGAGTTTGGCACATTTTCCTTCCAGTGTTTGGTTCATGCTGTTCCAATTGAAATGTTTCTAGAGAAAACTCACAGTTACTGCTTCTTTGCTTCCCATTCAGGGGTTATTTCTCAACAAAAAATTGAAACAACTTTTTAAAACTCTGGTTTTAAAAAATGGGGAAAAATCAAAAGGTTAATATTTAGTAGAAATGGGGAGAAATGAACTTCTTATGGATGGACATATTGTCTCCTGTTGGTTGAGAGAGAGACAGAGAGAGAGAGAGAGAGAGAGAGAGAGAGAGAGAGAGAGAGAGAGAGAGAGAGATTCGCTCTGCTCTGTTGAGCCTAATATTATTTTTAACCTTTTCCTAATAAGTTGAGATAGCTGGTCACTTCTGAGCCTACCTTAGTGTCCTTTTTCCTCAAGTGAATTGAATTTTGTATAAAGATGTACTCATTTCAACAAACTTGTATTGCAAACCTATCCTATCAGGCAGTAGAAAATATAAAGATGACTGAGAAGCAGTTGCTTTGCTTGAGGAGAACATGCTAATACAGAAGTCAAACGTGTAAATGAAGAATTGCTTCAAAAGATAAAGTTACAATAACAGAGGTAAAAACTAGTCATACAGGATGAGATGAAGGAGTATCAATGAAGATTTCTAGAGTGGGTCAAGGAAAGCTCCATAGAGAAGGCATTTAAGCTGAGTTTTAACTGATGAGGAGGAGTTCGCCAGGCCCTTGGGCAAGGGTGTGGTGAGGCATTTCTAATAGACCATTATACTGTCCATAGGCATAGAGCCATGTGCACATGGACTGTGAGGGTGCAGAGGAAGGTGAGTGGCTGCTCAAAAAAGGCTTCAAGAAAGGTATAGTTTGAACTGAATCTAGGAAGATGAGTGTTTGCCAGCAAGGGAGGATTTCTGAACAAAGTGAAGAGCAGCCATGTTTAAAGATACAGAACCAAGAAACTAGCACATTTGGGGAAGCACTGTACTTTCTGGAGCCTAGAATAAAAACGAGACAAGAGGAGAGCAGTGAAGCCAACAGTCAGGAGTGAGATCATGGGAGACTTTGAAATTTGGACTTTGTCTTGTAAGTGATGGGAGTCATTTCAAGATTACTATTTTAATTTTTATTCTCTCTACCATGTCATTTTAAAGGTGTACTATAATGCAGCAAATGCAAGCTAAATCTTGAATAGGCACTGGATTTAACCACCCATATGACAATGGAACCTAAAACTAGAATTTTGTAACTGGGAACACATCTGGGCAAGTGACTTAGAAGTTTTGGGAAGCAGAAACACAAGAATTTTTTTTTTTTTTAATTAATCCTCACCTAAGGATATTTTTCTCTCTTTTTTTTCCTTTAAAAAAAATATTTTATTGATTTTTCACAGAGAGGAAGAGAGAGAGATAGAGAGTTAGAAACATCGATGAGAGAGAAACATCGATCAGCTGCCTCCTGCACACCTCCTATTGGGGATGTGCCCACAACCAAGGCACATGCCCTTGACTGGAATCAAACCTGGGACCTTTCAATCTTCAGGCTGACCCTCTATCCACTGAGCCAAACCGGTTAGGGCCTAAGGATATTTTTCCATTAATTTTTACAGAGTGGAAGAAAGGAGGCAGGGAGTGGGAGACAGAGAGAAACATCAAAGTGAGAGAGACACATGGATTGGTTGCCTCCCGCATGCATCCTGACCAGGGCTGGGATCAAGCCTGCAACCAAAGTATATGCCCTTGTTCAGAATCAAAGCCAGGACCCTTCAGCCCACGGGCTGATCCTCTTTCCACTGAACCAAACTGGCTGGGGCAGAGATTTTTTTTTAATGTTTTCACTTTTTGAGCTCCTACTTTGCTAGTCGTTTTTATGCCCCTTTTAAAAGATATTTTATTAGTTCTTTAGAAAGGGAGAGAGAAACTTCAATGTGAGATCAGGATATTGATAGGCTGCCTCTTGCATGCCCCCTACGAGGGATTGAAGATAAGGAAAAATTAGTTTTTTGGTTATGAAGATAAGGAAAAATTAGTTTTTTGGTTATGATGCCAATTACTCAAAGCCTGTAGCAAGTAAGTGGCAGTCTGAAATTTAATTTGTGTCTCTACCTCTAAGGCTAATGTTCTTTATACTGTAAAACATATCTGCTACAGGGTTGTAGGCATAACCTCTTCAGCTGTTATAAGTATCCATGCATCTTTGCCCTTCCTTGATGCCGATTCAGAGGCCAAGAGACCAGAGTCATCCACACAATTTTGAAACATGTAGTTTGCCATGGTAAAGCTCCACTGGAAGAGACCCACCTGTAGGGACTAGCCCTCCTATGGCATTGCCACTTAATCTGATTGGTTTTATATGGCTAGAGTCAGTTCTGAGTAGCAAGACTAGGGAAGCAGGAGAGGTTTGGAATTTGCAGAATTGTTATAATAAGTTTTATTCTCCCCTTCATCATGCATTTTATTCACATATGTTTTGATATTTTGCAGATTTACCTTCAGGTAAAGGAGCCTGTATTCCATCAGGTAATTCTTAAAAATTAGTACACATTTAATTGATTAACAATACTTGCCTGCTTTGTGTTTTCCTTTTCTGATAAATAATATGCAGATACATAGGTTGCAAACTCAAGTGCCTACAATAGCCAGCTGTAGCTAACAGGAATCTACCTGGAACAGTCAATGCTGAGGCCCATCTGGCTGTTGGTATTCAGTAATGCAGGTGCAACACTGCTTATATAAGGAGAAAAACAGGAAGCCTTATACACATACATAAATAAAGTCTTTTTATGACATTATTTTCTAGAAAAGATAGTGAAAAGTCCTTGAATATTTTCCTCCTAATATGTATTACTAGGAGCCCAGTGCATGAAATCGCGCAGCCCCGCCCACCCATCTGCAGCCCTGCCTTGACACCCGAAACTCTCTACACAGAGCCCCAATGTGCCTGGCCCAGCTCCCAATCCCTTGGCCTTCTCTGGCCGCTTCAAGCCCTGCCCTCGGTCCCTCTAGTCTCCTCTGGCTGGTCCCACCTTCTCCAGGAGCCTCCCTACTCCCGCCCATCTTAAAAATAATGGAAAAGGAGGGAAAAGCAACATTGTCCAATCTAAAGGAGCTCTGGCTTGAGAGTTTGGAATCTTGATTTCTTATCACTCTGATTTCTTGCCACTTTATTATCCATGGACAAATTTCTGATATGCCTATATACTTCAATTTCTTTATCTGAAAATGTTCAGAAAAAGAAGTATTTTTTCACAAGGATAATATAAAAATAAGTTAAAAGCATAAGGCAATAAACAATAGTGTGATACTAAAAGTACATATTGAGATATAAGATGACATGAGTAAAATTTTGCCTGTAATAATCACAGAAAGCTTCTGAAAGGAGATATTTGAGTTGGGCCTAGAGAGATAAATAGTGGAGATACTGTTAGAGAGAAGGAGCTAATAAACACTTTAAAAATATTTGCCTCAACCAGTATGACGGTCTTGCTAAGGTGATCCAAACATCTCTAAAAAGAGAGCCAAATGCTTTTATTTAATTTGATAGCCTTGCAAAGATGTAAAATACACAAATCACATAGCCACCACATTCACTTATACACCAATATATCTTTAATAAGGAAATAAGAAAAAGTGTATATGAGAATAGATTAAAAGAACATTTAAGAAGTTAGTTAACCCTCTCTAAGCAGCTAATTAACAAATCGTTACTTAATATCTCAGTGAGATCTCATATAGTGTCTCAGAAAGTACTATTACTTAAATTCTTCCTGCCAAAGTGGATGTTCTACACAGGAACTTAAGCAGATTTATTTAAATTTTATTATATTCCATTATGTCACTTAATTATAAATTAGAGATGTAAATAAACTGTGTAAGCACACTTAGAAAAGAAGCTGACATTTTTTACTATCTCTTATGTACTAAGTATTATATATTCTTTTTTATACTTTATATGGACTGACTTACCTATTATCATAAAAATATCAACAAACCTGTATAGATATTATCATCTTCATTTTGTAGGTGAGATAGTAGGGTTAGAGGTTAAGTAATCTGACCAATTTTTTTTCTATTTTTTTTAATTGATTTTAGAGAGAGGATGGGAGGGGGAGAGAGAAAAAAACTGATGTGAGAGAAACGTCCTTTGCGCCTCCTACTGGAGACTGAGCCAGCAACCTGGGAAGTAGAATCAGTTATTGAAAGTAAAACTAAAGGGAAGGGAAGGATCTAGAGAATGTGAGACAAAATTATAGCATCTGTTCAGGTTTTGGCATATATTTAAAATTACACATAACAGCCAAAACCGGTTTGGCTCAGTGGTAGAGCGTTGGTCTGTGGACTGAAAGGTCCCAGGTTTGATTGTGGTCAAGGGCATGTACATTGGTTGCGGGCACATCGCCGGTGGGGGGTGTGCAGGAGGCAGCTGGTCGATGTTTCTCTCTCATCGACGTTTCTAGCTCTCTATCCCTCTCCCTTCCTCTCTGTAAAAAATCAATAAAATATATTTTTTTTAAAAATCGCACATAACATAACTAAAATGGTCACAGAACTTATGATGCTTGTTATTCACAGACTCTTAAGTTTTCCTCAAAGGTTATCATGACTCTTAATTATATAATTATATATTCTTAAAAATTCTGTTCTTTAAAATGTAATAAAAGATAATAAATGTTTACATTTAATTAGGAGGACTAGTTTTGTAGGCAAAATATACTTTCTTGCCAAAGAATAATGATTTTAGTAACATCATTTTTTCTTTTCTTATTTAGGTCATGTATGGAATGTTGGTCTTCACATTAGTACTTCGATCAATTTATATTGTTACATGGTAAGTAGTTTGGATCATCACACTATGATTAGAGTACATTCAGGCAATAAAACTATAGCCTAAATTGAAACAATACATAAAACCCAATTCCAACAGTGATATTGAATGAAAACTATATAATCCAACATTCATTATGGTATAATTACAAGGAATACTAGTTCTTTAAGCCAGTTGTTAATAGGCACCATGTGAATACAAGAGTCTCAAAATAAAAGAAATTTGAGGAGCCCTAATCTGTTTTGCTCAGTGGATAGAGCATCGGCCTGCGGACTGAAGGGTCCCAGCTTCAATTCCAGTCAAGAACATGTACCTTGGTTGTGAACACATCCCCAGGAGGTGGTGTGCAGGAGGCAGCTGATCGATGTCTCTCTTATCCGATGTTTCTAATTCTCTATCCCTTCCCCTTCCTTTCTGTAAAAAATCAATAAAATATATTTTTTAAAAGAAATTTGAGGAAAGCTATATATGATCGCCTCCTTTTGTTTATAATGTACAAGAATATTAAAACCTTTTAAAAATTATATAGTAAAAAATGAGAAACTGATTCTGAAATTTATCAATATATAGGAATCTAGAATAGATTCTAGAATCTAGAATAGTCAAAACATTTTTGAAAAAGAACAGTAAAGTTAAAGGATTTACACTACTTGTTTTGCACTGTGCCACATTAAGACAATGTGATATTACTGGTAAAAATGAAATATGAATCAATGGAATATCCAAAGATAGACCTATGATTTATAGTGACCTAGTTTTAAATAAGCATCTAAGGTTTTTCTGTGAGGAAAAGGTAATCTTTTCAAATTATGCTGAACAGTTTAATAGTCTTAATTTTAAAATTAACTTAAGCTCACACCATTACAAAAATTTACTAGAAATGAATCAAATTCCTAAATGTAAAAATTAAAATTAAAACACTTTTAGAAGAAAATAGAGCAGAAGTGTTTGCAGGCTTGCTTAAGCAAAGAATTATTAAATAGGACACAAAGAATGCAAACTGTAATGAAAATATTGATAAATTAAACTTCATCAAAATTACAAACTTTTGTTCTTCAAAAGGCACTGTTAAGAAAATGAAGGGCAAATCACATAGTTGGAGAAAATATATGCAAAATTTATATCCAACCAAAGATTTACATTTAGAATATGTAAAGAACTCTTACAAAGCAATAATATGGCAAACAACAATTTTTTAAATGGACAAAGGTCAGCAAACTATCAAATAAGTTAGATGGTTGGCAGACACAATGAAAGGATGTTCAATGACATTAGCTGTTAAAGAAATGCAAATTAAAACTACACTGCTGGTGGTAATGTAAAATCACTTAGGAAAACACAGTCATTTAGGAAAGCAGTTTAGCAGTCTTAGAAAGTTGAGCATTTACCTGCCATTCCTCTCTATCTTTTTACCCAAGAGAAATGAAAGCGTAAGTCCATAAAAAGACTTATTTATGAATGGTAATACAATAGATGCTTTGTATGGCAAAGAAGACTGAGAACACCAATGTCCACCAATATTTGGACTGATAAACAAGTCGTGATATATCTATATAGCGGAATACTACTTAGAAATAAAAGGAACTGAAGTATTGATATATATATAACTACATGGATGAATTTCAAAATAGTTATGCCAAGTGGAAAAACATATATAATGAAGCAGATATGCTGTATTATTTCATTTATACAACATTATAAAAAATGCAAACTCTGCTTTTAGTGGTGGTGGATATATTTATTATCTTGAGTGTGTTGTTGGTTTAATGGATACATATGAATATATTAATCAAATGTGCACTTTAAATATATGCATTTTTTTAAAATATATATATATTTTATTGATTTTCCACAGAGAGAAAGGGAGAGGGATAGAGAATTAGAAACGTCAATGAGAGAGAAACATCGATCAGCTGCCTTCTGCACACCCCCTACCGGGGATGTGCCCACACTAAGGTACATGCCCTTGACCGGAATCGAACCTGGGACCTTTCAGTCCGCAGGCCAGCGCTCTATCCACTGAGCCAAACCAGTTTCGGCCACTTCTCTCTCTTTCTCTCTTTTTTTTTTTTTTTTTTTTTTTTGATGTAACTCAATGGAACCTCATTGCAGCTATAAAATATACATTTAAGCTGCTATTATTTTGAGTAACTCAGCAAGCTTCAATTTTCTTATTGGTGAAGTAAAAAGAATAATGCCTGTTTCATAGGGTTTATTTGAAGATTTAATTTGTGTGTACGTGTGTGTATGTGCGTGCGTGCGTGTGTGTGTGTGTGTGTGTGTGTGTGTATAGTGTAGTGTGTATCTAATTTACTATAGTGCCTGACACAGAGCAGATGCCTCATTGTTAATTATATTCCACCATTCCCCTTGCACTTCCATGGAACTGAGAAAGTTACTGGGGGCTTTTATATTACCTTTTTGGTATACCTAGCCAAGTCTTAGAAGCACATTCTCTCTCAGTGCCTTTTAAAGGCTAAATGTAATAGGCCAGTGGTTGGCAAACTCATTAGTCAACAGAGCCAAATATCAATAGTACAATGATTGAAATTTCTTTTGAGAGCCGAAAACCGACTTTTGTGCATGGGCCATGAAGTTTCAATCACACTGTACGTGCGTGCCCACACATGGTATTTTGTAGAAGAGCCACACTCAAGGGGCCGAAGAGTTGCATGTGGCTCAAGAGCCACAGTTTGCTGACCACTGTAATAGGCAAATATATTAGATAACTTAATAGATAGGTTTGCTTTTAATACTAACAATAATCTTTCCTTCTCATGAAAGTGATTACTTCAAGCTCTGATCATGACATGGACACAGCAAAATTTTATTGTGCTTTTTAATTTTTCCACAGGGTTTATCCATGGCTTAGAGGACTGGGATATACATCTTTGGGTATATTTTTATTAGGATTTTTATTATGGAACGTCGATAACATCTTTTGTGACTCATTGAGGTAAGATACATATTCAGTCTTTGAGAAATATTTTTGAAAGCAATCTATTAAGCAGAATTTCATAGGCGTATAGAATTATTAGTGCCCTGAAGTGAATTTTTGCCATTATTAAAATTAAAAAGGGATGAAAAATATAATAAAGTAAACTTCTGGGAAGACTTTTTTAAATTTTTAAAAATTTAGACCTAAGAATATTTTGTAATATCTGTAGAGATTTTTAATCAAATGTTGACTAAACCTTTGAAATCTGCCTAACTTGCTTTACTGAATAAATAAGAGTGATTTAAAATAGATATGAAATACATGTATATAATTTTGTGCTTTCACATGCTTAATACTATTGTCTAAGAAAGACAAGTGTTCCTTTTTTCACCTTGTTAGCAAGTATGTATTGACTGGAGTTTAAATCTTGGGTCTCTGGACCCTAGTCTGTTACTAAAACACTCTTTCTGGGCCTCAATTTCCATTAAAATTAACATGTTAAATAAATTAAAATAGTGGATCCTTCTAACTCAAAATTCAATTTTGCCAAAGCACAGAGGACTGTGGTGAACAGCACCACAGAAAGGCAATCAGCAAAATTCAGACTGTGAGAAATTTATAGGATGAATGATCTGATCTCAGCAGAGGGGAGAAAAAAAAAAGGAGAAGAAACATATAGATTAAAAGAGATTTACGAGATATATCAACCAAAAGCAATGTGTTGGATTTTGATGTAAACAACACCACTTTAAAAAAAAAAAAAAAGTTTATGAGATGATTGGTATTTGAATATTTTGTGATATTAATGGATTATCCCATATAATAAAAGGGTAATATACAAATTGACCCTAACAGCAAATGACCAGGAAAGACTGGTCGCTATGATACGCACTGACCACCAGGAGGTAGACACTCAACGCAGGAGCTGCCCCCTGGTGGTCAGTGTGCTCCCACAGGGGGAGCTTCGCTCAGCCACAAGCCAGGCTGACAGCTGGAAGCATAGTCTTGGTGGCAGGAGCCTCTCCTGCCTCCTCTGCAGTGCTAAGGATGTCTGATATTCCTGTAGGGAGCAAGCCTAAGCCAGCGGTGGATATCCCCTGTGGGGTCCCAGACTATGAGAGGGCACAGGCAGGCTGAGGGATGCCCCCAAGTGCACGAATTTTCTTGCACCAGGCCTCTAGTTGTTAATATTTTAGGTATGCAATGGTATGGTTATGTTGTAAAGAGATTTTAATCTTTAAGAAATACATACTGAAATATTTATAGATAAAATGATACATTATCTGGGATTTACTTCAAATAATATGGGGTGGTGGGGAAAAGTGGATAATACAAGATTGTTATAACCATAAGTTGTAATTATTGGAGGTCAATGGTACATTCTTATTTTGCCTATTGAAAATTTTCCATAATAAAAAGTAATGTTAAAATAAGTAAAATAGTTAAGTAAAATATGTAAAAAAGTTAAATAAGTAAATGTAGACTTTAATATACAGAAGCAAACAAGTAATATACCTTGCTTTGAAAAAACAAAGATCTAATTGAGTAGTTTTGAATCAGTAATACCCATCAGAAACCCCATTAGAGCTGGTAATTATCTCAAAATTAGATGGTAATTGTCTCAAAAATTCATGGGATATCTAGAAAAATAATTTGATGTTTCATGTTTATTATTTCCCTCTAATAAACGAGGATATTAATATAGTATGCACTTACTCAGCCATGCCCCGGGCGACCCAAGCAGAGGCCCTGGTATCTGGGATTTATTTATCTTCTACAATTGAAACTTTGTAGCCTGGAGTTGAGCCAAGCCTTCTGCTCGCTCTGTGGCAGCAGCCATTTCTGTTGGGGTTTATTCACCTTTTATAATTAAAACTTTGTATCCTTGAGTGGAGTCTAGGCCCGCCAGGGTGTGTGGAAAGCTTGGCTTCCTCCATTGCCCAGGAAACCCAAGCCTCCTTCCTGCTCTCTGTGGTGGCAGCTATCTTGGTTGGGGTTAATTTGCATATTCACTCTGATTTGCTGGTGGGCATGGCTGGTGGTGTAGTGGAGTGATGGTATTGCATATTACTCTTTTATTAGGTAGGATGTCACCCCAATAAATTCAATAAAGAAGGGAGGAAATCTCTTTAAATTTTAGTTTCCTAATCTGTAAAGCAAAGCTAATAATAGCTACCTCAGAGACTTACTGTGAAGTGAAATAATAGATACCAAAGGACTTTATAGACTGTGTGGTACACTTCTAAGGTGATGGTTGTATGCAGGACATAAGAAAAGCATGTATCTAGTTCCTTAACTGCATGCTAGGTAGACCTGTTTCTGGGAAACATTTGTCCTATTAAAGTATTAATAAGATAATACCTAAATAAAAGGTTCCAGGGATAAGTAGGTTATCTGGGGGGGGAAATGGAAATGAACTCTGTAAGTTAGGGTAGGACTTTTCAAAGTTTTTAATCTGTTAATATGCATCATAGATCTCTAAGAGAATAATAAATTATGCACTATTTCCCATATTTATTTTGACCACAGAGTCATTTCTTCAGAACTTTTGCTAGGAATACTATTACTGAAAATACACTTTGCAAAAACAGTATGGCAGATTGCAGCAGACTTGAGGAAATAAAGTAACTACAATTTTTGAGAATGGCAGTTCAAAATGCTCTAAGACTGTCAGCATTAGTTGCTAAATATTTTTTAAAAATTAACATGGTGATTTTCCCCCCTCAGGAACTTTCGAAAGAAGGTACCACCTGTCGTAGCTGTTACCACACAATTTCATGCATGGTGGCATATTTTAACTGGCCTTGGTTCTTATCTTCACATCCTTTTCAGGTAGGAAATATACTTTTAAAACCTAGTTTTGGGGTGTGTGTTTTTCCCTGTATTCTTTCAATAAGATGATGTCTTTATAAAATATTGGAGACAGATCAGGAACTTATGATCCAGCTTTGCCTCTCCCACTGGGTGACCTTAAGCAAGTCCCTTTCCTTAAAGTAAGATAGTTGTATTAACTAACCTCTGATGCATGGTCTACATTTTAATGCAAGTAGGATATAAACTTTTTTTTTAGTACAAGTAGTATATAAATATTTTAATTTCTTATTGATCAGCATTAAAAAATAAACTTTGAAAGAAAAGCACCCAAGGCCCGGAGCAGCGGCTGCCAGGCTGGGAGCGGCCAGGCCCGGAGCAGCCTGGTCTTGTGCGGCCAGGCCTGGAGCAGCAGCTGCCAGGCTGGGAGCGGCCAGGCTCAGAGCAGCAGCTGCCAGGCTGGGAGCGGCCAGGCCCGGAGCAGCCGGGCCCGGAGCAGCAGCAGCCAGGTCCAGAGCAACTAGGTCGGGAGCGGCAGTGACCAGACCCGGAGCAGCTGGTTGTGGAACGAACCAGAGTAACAGAGGCCAGGCCCGGAGCAGCCAGGCCCGGAACAGCTCGCTCCTCACCTGCCCCTGCCCCACGGCTGCCTCTCGGACATGGCTGGAAACTTTTGGGGGAACTTGAGGGTCTGCTGAATCAGTGATGAAGGCTTAGATCTGGATGTGTTGAGTTAGTATAGCGCTGGGGTGTTGATCTGTGAGTGCCTTGGGTGGGGCCTGGATGAGGCTGGTTGACCTATTTGGAAATGTCTTTTGTGTGAAATGTATCATTGGGCATGTGGTGGTATTATTGATATGAGAAAATGCTAAGTAACTGATTTACTATCTGAAAAGGGATTTACTATCGGGGAAAGGGAGGGAGGAAGAGACTGAACATAAACTGCACCTATGGATGAGGACAATGGGGGATGGGGAGGGGGCGGAGGGTGGGGTGGGAACCTGGTGGAGGGGGGAAGAAATGAGGAACCTTTGTAATAATATGAACAATAAAGATTGATTTAAAAAAAAAAGAAAAAAGAAAGAAAAAAAAAAGAAAAGCACCCAGATCCCCTGTGTAGGGGACTGAAAAAGTGAGAATCTAAAGTCTCCTGCTTAAATAAATTGGTTGCCACTTTGCTTTCCCTGCTCTCCTAATAAAGAGTCCATTGGAGGTCAGCCATTAAAAACAACAATGAAATCAGAATTCTCTCTGATCACCCTATTCAATTAATATTTCCATATCATTCTCTCTCCCCTTATCAGGTTGTGTTTATAACCTTTAAAGTATTTATAACCAGTTAGATGTTTATTTAATTGTTTACCTCCCACAACTAGATTGTTAATACCTTGAGAGCAAGCAGGGACTTTATCTTATCCACTGCAACTCTCCCAAGTGGATAGAATGATGCCTGTCACATAGTAAGCACACAGTATATATTGTTAATTGATTTAATGAATGGTTATGTATATATTGATCTCTTTACCAGGGCATCAGGCTATGTTTAATTTCAAATTCTACTCAAGAATTAAGAGCTGAAATATTTATAGGCAGGGAAAGAAATTTTTCCTTTAAACCAATGTGAAAATTTACTTAAGTGATATTTTTAGAATACCTCTTCAAGATAACATTTACATTTCACCTATCTGGAAATCAGCTTGTTTAGGCAGCCAGAATTATCTAAACTTTAACTACCTGAGAATTACATATTAAAAAAAAAAAAAAAAAAAAAAAAAAAAAAAAAAAGACTTCTGAGCAGCTAAATAGGAACATTGAGTTGTACCATGGAAGAGCTCTTTAAATTCTGTCTCCAGGTATGTTTATTTTACTTTTTGAAACTTGTTACTGCATTGGTTATTTGGATTCTTCGTCCATAGCACATGGAAATACCTAATTTAAAAGGGAAGGGATATGGGAGAAAAATGCTTGGGGAAATTGACATGATAAAAAAGGAAAAACAAGAATAAGTGAACCCAATAATTAAAAAACTAGCATCTGAACACTGCACAAGAAATCCCAAGGTGGCTCATTTGGTTGGGCATTGTCTCATACACCAAAAGATTGTGGGTTTAATTCCAAACCAGGGTACCGACCTAGGTTGTGTTCTATTCCTCTCTCTCTCTCTCTCTCTCTAAATCAATCCTTGGATAAGGGTTTTTTAAAAATTTTTAAGAGACCTGTAAAAATATCACACATTAGAATTATTATTATTATTTATAAATCTATTTTTAATATATTTTATTGATTTTCCACAGAGAAGAAGGAAGAGGGATAGAGAGCAAGAAACGTCGATGAGAGAGAAACATCGACCAGCTGCCTCTTGCACACCCCCCACTGGGGATGTGCCCTTGATCAGAATCGAACCCAGGACCTTTCAGTCCGCAGACCAACACTCTATCACTGAGCCAAACTGGTTTTAGCACACATTAGAATTATTAATGATTATAAAAACAGTGCAATTTCTGTGCTTGAAGAAATAAATCAAACTTAAAAATAAGTTCAAGGAAAAAGAAACTTTTTCAAACAATTTTTTGAAAGAACCAAATAGAACCTCTAGAAATGAAAACTATAGTAACCAAAATGCTAAACTCACTGTACAGAACTAATAACAGATTAAACTCAACTGAAGAAAGAATTAGTAAAGTGGAAAATAGATCAGGAAAAAATTACTTAAATGCAGCAGAGACAAAAAATATGGAATTGAGGTTAAGAGAAATGGAAGATAAAGTGAGAGGGCTAACATTGTTTAATTGGAGTTTCAGAAGAAAAGAAAAAAGGGGGGGGGGCGCACGGCGATAGCCACATATTTCAGTTACTAATGTTAAACAATAACCTCAAACTCACCAGTTTAAAATAAACCAGTGTATTTTGCTCACAATTGTCTTGAATTTGGGTCTTGAACTTGGAAGGGCTTAGCCAGGCAGTCCTCACGTGGAGCCTCTCATAGGGTTGGTGTCAGATGACAGCTCAGGCTGCAGACATCTGAAGGCTCGCTTATGTGGGCTGTCATTTGATACTGGCTGTTGCCTTGGAGCTGTGACTATAAACTAGAGCTGCCTTCACGGGCGACTTCATCCTCAGTGTAATCAGCCTTCATCCCTGGCAGAAGACTTCTCCCAGAGGGAACATCTCAAGAGAAGCAGACAAAGGTAGCAGAGCCTTTCATAGCCTAGTCTCAGAGTTCATATGGTGTCACTTCCATCTTACTCTGCTGGTCAGAGTCACTGATTTAAATAGGAGGGACATAGATCCTATCTCCTGAGGGGAAGATATTGAAGGATTTAGGGTCTCCAAACTCAAGTCTGAAGAGAAGCACTGCTTAGCTGGTGCTGGTTTCTGAGCTCAGAGGAGGGACCCCAGGCTGGGCTCCAAGCCTCTGAGGAAGGGAATGCTGCTACAAAGTGCTGCTGCCACAGAGAGAAAGTGCTGTTGGGATGCTGATCACAGGAACCACAAGTCAACAGCCCCTCATGAAAATAAAGCAGGATGGAAGAAGTCCCTTCTTTCTCCTCCAGCTTTGCAGTCTCTCTTGAATGCCCTCTTTTAACAGAGCCTATTGCATTTATCAATGAGGAAGTACGGTTTGTAGTCTCAGCTCTTGAATCACAAACAGAATATAGAAGGGTGGATTTGGAGCTGAGGTATAATAACTGATATAGCTGGTAACATTTAACAAGAAGAAAAGAGGAAAACCATAAATAACCAGTACCAGGAGTGTAAAAGGAAACATCATTACAGATGCTGCAAATATGAGAAGAAGATAAGATCTTTTTAACAGCTTAATGTAATAGGTGCTTTTGTTTATGTTTGAAATTTTCCAGAATAAAAAGTTTGAATTTTAAGCTCAGAACCTCATCTTGGCTAGGCACTTGATGTATAATACCACCTTTAATCCTTTTGACAGTACGATAAGGCATGTATTATTTTATACTTGAGGGAAGACAAGCTCAGAAAGTCAAGTACTTCATACATGATCTTAGTGTCATTATCTGGATTTGAGGTCAGAGTTTTTCTGTCTCCCCATAACAACCTAGGAAACCTTGGAAACATCTAATATAATTTCTTCATTTGATGGTGAAGCAAACTGAGGCAGCAAAGTCACTTGCTCAAGGTCAAGGTCACTGGTCAATTAGAATATAATGTATTGGCTAATGGTTAGACAGAACCTGAATTCAAGTCCTGTTTCTAGCATTTACTAGCTGTGGCACATTGAAAGGAATATTTGGCCTTTCTGAGATCATTTCTCATATGCAAAACAGGAATAATAATGTCCACCTAGTATGTTGTTTAAGAATGAAATGTGTTGCCGAAACCGGTTTGGCTCAGTGGATAGAGCGTCGGCCTTTGGACTAAAAGATCCCAGGTTCAATTTCAGTCAAGGGCATGTACCTTGGTTGCGGGCATATCCCCAGTAGGGGGTGTGCAAGAGGCAGTTGATCCATGTTTCTCTCTCATCGATGTTTCTAACTCTCTATCCATCTCTCTTCCTCTCTGTAAAAAATCAATGAAAAAATATATTTTTTTAAAAAGAATGAAATGTGTAGAAAGCTCTGGGCCCAGTGCTTGCCCCACTAGTGTAGCTACTTAAAAAGTTGGCAGTGGTGGAGGTAAGAGCAAGGGCTGGAATCCAGGCTTCCCTGCCCCAGTCCAGGACTCTTTCCTAAAGAAAAAGGAAAAGGTGGCAGCTCTCTTTTAGAGATTAACATCCGAAAAACTGTCAGAGGGGTTATATTTTAAGACAGTAGAGTATTCTTCATAATATTTGATGTTCCTCTTTACAGTTCTGACTTGGGGTACAGTGATACTATAGCCACATTAAATTACATAAATTCAACTATACATTTTCTTTCACCTTTTCTTCCCTTGTTTAAAAGATACAATTTTTCACACTATAAAATTATGGCTTGCATATACACACATTGTATTATTACTAATAGTATATTACTATTGAAATACATTTAAATAGTGTACTATACAAAAAAAAACTATGTATGCCATATGCTATGGAAAGTTTAATGAATTTTTTAGGGGTAAACTTAACTTTACCTTTGCTCTATGTACTGATTTTAGACTCTGATATCTTCAGAGGTGACTCATTTTAAAGAATACTATTAATATGGCTCCATTGCCTTCCTGATTATTTTATAGCTATATTAGAATATTATAGAGCTGATATAACCATTGTCAAAATATTATAAGAATATTCTAAATTAGCCCTGGCCAGTTTTTCTCAATGGTTAGTGTGTCGACCTGCCCACCAAAGGGTCTCAGGTTAGATTCCCAATCAAGGGCAATGGTCAGGGTAGGTGAAGGAGGCAACCAACTGATGTGTGTCCCTTACATCAGTGTTGCATGTTTTTCTCTCTCCCTACCCCCTCCCTCAATCCCTTCCACTCTCTAAAAATCAATGCAAAAATATCCTTAGGTAAGAATGAACAAAACAACAAAAAGAGAATACTTTAACTCTTACTATCATATATCTTCAAAGGTGACACTGGCAGTTGTGATATGAATCCTATAAAGCATGAATGAAATGCTCCCTATTTAACTGCAAACATCCTGCAGTCACAGTCTGAGAGCTGATCATTTCTCTGTCTCCCCTAGCTTCTTGGCACAGAGTAGTGCTCAAAAAGAAAAAGAAGAAAAAGAAAAAAAAGTTGCTAAACCAGTGTTAATTGTTCTTTTTTTTTTTAATCTATCTTTATTGTTCATATTATTACAAAGGTTCCTCATTTCTTCCCCTTTCCACCAGGTTCCCACCCCATCCTCCGCCCCTCCGTACCCCCCATTGTCCTCATCCATAGGTGCACAGTTTATGTTCAGTCTCTACCTCCTTCCCTTTCCCCAAGAACAGTCAGTCCACTCCCCTCGCGTATCGCTGACTCTACTACAATGAACCGCTGTTATTGTTCATCAGGTTTTTCAATCTCCCTTTTTTGTTGTTGTTGTTTTTTAATTAATAAACTTTTACACTTCTAAGAATAAATTTTAAAATCTAATAATTTTAAACCTTGTTTATTTTCTGCCCTGGGAATTGAGAGCAAACTTGTTTACATGTAAACTTGCCCTTAGGCTATCAAAAGGTGTAGCCCTTCAAGTATAAATGGACACATTGTTTAAACATAGCTGCTGGTTGGAATTGGATTACCTGTTCTGGGTAGGAAGGGCTTGTCATTCCCTTTCTCCATTAAAATTAAGGTGTTGGCTTTAAAACCTCTTTTTGGCAAGAGACCTTAAACTTTTAGAACTTTAAATTTTTCAGATAGTAAATCAGTTACTTAGCATTTTCTCAAATCAATAATACCTCCACATGCCCAAGGATACACTTCACACAAAAGACATTTCCAAATAGATCAACCAACCTCATCCAGGCCCCACACAAGGCACTCACAGATCAACACCCCAGCGCTATACTAACTCAACACATCCAGATCTAAGCCTTCCTCATTTGATTCAGCAGACCCTCAAGTTCCCCCAAAAGTTTCCAGCCATGTCTGAGAGGCAGCCTTGGGGCAGAGGCAGACAAGGAGCGAACTGTTCTGGGCCTGGCTGCTCCAGGCCTGGCCTGTGTTGCTCTGGTCCGTTCCACAACCAGCTGCTTCGGGTCTGGCCACTGCTGCTCCCGACCTGGCTGCTCCGGGCCTGGCCGCACCCGACCCGGCTGCTCTGGGCCCGGCCGCTCCGTGCCTGTGTTGCTTGTTCTTTATATATGTATGGGCACTATAGTTAAATTTGTCAGTATGCCAGTTTGCATGGATTAAAAATCAGCCTGAAGAGCTTTCTCCCTCCCCTTTTCTTTCAGTATATATACAAGAACACTTTACCTGAGATACAGGCCAAAAGTGAAGGTAAGTCTACTCATAGGGTGAGTGTGGTGGAAGAGGGGGGATAGTGAGAAGATGGGATGGAGGAAGTAGGTGGGAGGGAGAAATAATGGAGTGAGACACTTTGGAACCAGATGCTCTTGAATTTTAATTCTCCCACTTACTGCTCTGTGACCTTGGGCAAGATTCTTCCTTTTAAGACTTAGTTCTTCAACAATAAAATGAACCTGTTAATAGCTACATTGCAAAGTTGTTTTAAGGATCCGAGATGACTTTAATGCCCAGCTCTATGTTTGACAAGGTAGATGTTTACTACATTTAAATAAATTAAATAAACATAGTTTCTGAGATCTGTTGCAAGCCTGGAAAAAATATGCTGTGCTCAGGTACTACTACCAGGACAATCACGAGCAAACCTACCAGGCACTATAGTCATAGTCCACGGGTTCTTTCTCATTTTTCAGGAATGATATATATAGAATACTTTTATCTTCTTTCATTTTGTTCCAACTTGTTTCCAAACAGTTTCTCTTCGGAATCTGGCCAGTGATCCTGTTTGAGCCGCTCAGAAAGCATTGATGACTTATTCCACCAAGAAAACAAAAAAGCACCTACTATAAGCCCAGCCAAATGAATAAGGAAATCCTTAAAGATCTACATGTTCAAATGTATCAGGACTATTACAGCAAAGGTGGCTTTCTGACTAACGCGTCAGCCGCACAGAGAATGAGGAATGGGGCTTGTTGGATGTTTAGCTTATGTCATTATCTCATTGGTCCTCTTCCTTACCCTAAGATGTTTAAAAAGAAACAACACGATATATCTATATATACTTGAATGCCAGGAAAATTGGGATTTTCATAACAGGTTAACAGTTTGTGCTTATAATAGGAAATTTACCATTTCCTCTTTTTTGACCAGGGTTGCATGTGAACTATACATTTCTTAATAGTTGGTTAAATAATGAAAACAGCTAGACTGGCAAACCCCATGTCCAGATGGCCAGCTATAAACCAGCCCTTAGCTGTGTCAGCCTTGATTTATATTTTTGTCAGAGTAACCTCATGGATGGTTTCCCAAGGTTAAAAAAAGAAGAAGAAGAAAAAGAGCTATCAGTGGGGTTCTGGTAGTTTTTCACTGCTGCCTCTGTGCTACTCAGAGTATGTTATGAGCAAGCTCAGACCTGCCATTGGGTTATCACATCCCAGCTCTGGCTTTCTGTGTGTAGCCACAGCCAGTCAGAGTAGGAGGGTCAACTTGCAGCCTTTGTGAAGGTTCTGAGGACACTGTACAATGTGGTCTCCCCAGACAGTTACAGGCGTTTGTTCAGTTTCCTTTGTCACTGTTTTTATGGCTAGGCAAACATGATTGGTGGTCTGGTCTACCTGTGTTCCATCATCCTAGCATAATTTATGTGAAGTTACCAGTGAATGTCATTATACTCTGACTTTTTAAATTATGCAATTTTTCCCAATTTTCAGAGAGGCCATGGTTATGCCCAGAGAAATATGTTGGGTTAACTAGAGCCAAATGATCAGGATCCTATTTACATAAAGCTTATTAGAATACCTGCTCCTTCATTTTCAGGTTTGAGAACAGCCCTAATTTACTTGAACTTGTAACAGAACTCCCAAGAGATAAAGTGCTGAAATCTCATTGTAAAGCAGCCAGTTCTAATTTGGATTTGAATTATAACAAATTGTATCACTTTTCACAGACATAACACCTGTCTGGATTTTGAGATTCTATTTGATCCCCTTTATTCATATATCACCATATTTGTAGTCTACAGCAGTTAGCTTTTTCATGACTTTTTCTTGCTTATTCACTGTTATAAAATCCAGAGTGTGTTTCCACATGGTTCCATTATCACAGATGAAACCCTAAGCTATAGCTTGAAACGGAGACATTTTCTTATGCAAAAGTATTAACCACTTCTGTCATTTTCCGGTGTTCAGTAAGCAGCCTTAGTACAAATTCAAAACCAATGCAAATTTTATCCTTTTTCACCTACTGGCCTTAGTTCTAGTCCAAATGCTATCTTCCTTATGCCATTAGGCAGATAATTCCACCTACTTTTATGACTCTCTAGCTAGAAAATCACTTGCCAAAACATAAATGTAACACAACTTTGGTCGTGCCTTAGGAAAACATGAAACTGAACGGTTCCGACACACAGCCCACAAGTCTGTTATTTCTTTTTCCGCAACATTCAGACTCTGGCTACATCTTATGTGCAGCTACCTAGACTATCGGCTCTCTTACATTTTTTAATGACTTCCATTTGTCCCATGCCATTGCCTTTTGTAATTTTCCTTCAAAAAGTAAAGAATACTTCTGCATAAAGAATCTATTTAGAAACAGGCGCATCCTTAGTGATAATGCTGCTAAATGCTGGGTGATGGAGGAGCTGCAGTATTAAAGTCAGATTAAGGGTATGGGGAGCACCCTGAGAGGGCCCTGCAGAGCAGTTTGTTGAATGAATATTTCAACCATCAGTGGTTGAATGAAGTTGTCCAGCGCCTCACTGGAGAAGCCCACCAGTGGGTGACTTGTAACATTATGGCCAATTTTTCAAAGAGGGGACTAAATCCAATCTCTCTCATTTTCCAAGTTAGTTTTTGCTCCACATGCCTCTCTTTTTTAGCAGCCTAAGTATTAGCATACTCAAGACATTGTATCTGTGCCACAGATAGATAGTATTTGGAAATACTGCTGACCTTCAGGATATTTGCTAAATCGTCTTATGTCAATGGCTTTTTTCCTTCTAAGATTCCGGGTGGGCATTACAGGGTTGGCTTACCACCCTACTCCCTTCCCCTTATTTTCTTAGACTTCCTGTTGACTAGAGTGTACAGAAAGCAACAAAAACAAACCTGTTTTCTACTGAGCAAATAATGGTTTGTTTGCATATCACCTGATGTGAAAGGTGCTCATCTGAGAGCCCTACAGCACATTATATTTTAGGAAACAATATTTTATGAGGATGTGAAAGAGGCAGTTTGCTTGCACATTTTAATATTTTTCTTAAGCTGCCATTTTCACTTCAGAAAATTGAAAGCAATTAGACTTTTTTTTTTTTTTTTTTTTTAAAGGAAAATCCAGGTGAAAGGTGGTTGTGTTTATCAGATTGGTCATTCTGCCTACTCCTCCCCACCTTGGTACTTCCGTGAAACATTGCCACACCTGCTTCATGATATTATGTAAAATGATCGTTAACGGGAAACATTGGTATGAATAACCTACAAATGAAGACCCAAACAGTGGTGTTTGGTTTAACAGAATTCTATTTAAAAAACAAACAAACAAACAAACAAACAAACAAAAAAACACCTTCCTGCAAAATTTCCAGAACTGTTAATCTGGTCTTTCCCTACAGTAAAAAGAAGAGGTGTGAGTTAGTGAAAATCAAAAGACCCAAATTTCAGTTATACAGTACATAAAAGTCTTTAAATGCCTGCAGAAACTAAGTTCTATTTTAATGCAAACACCTTCTGAATTTAGCCAGTGCCTCTATAAGTGTCTAATAATTTACGTTAAGGTTTTCTTGGGTTCCATATTACTTTGCTCTTGAAAAAAAATTTCTTGTTGCTAAGTATGCAGTTTTAACTCTCCATTCCACATTTACATGACTGAAGAAACACCTTTAACCCATGGTTTATGATGTGCTACTGGATAAACATTTGTGTAAAACTGAAGTTTCAAGGAGAACCAGTTATATTGGAATTTGCAGCTATATGGCGATTTGCAGATCTACCTCTGTCTTACATCTTACATCATATCAGTGCCATAATATAATTAGTTTGATCACTTTGTCTTGTTTTTTTTTGTTTTGTTTTTAATATCTAAAATTACAGCTTGTTCACTGTGCTGTAAACATTTGGAAGCAATGACCAAAATTTGGCTAAAAGTAGTTAAGTCCATGGGGTGGGGGGAGCTGTAAAATGGAGACAAGAAAAGAAGAAAAAAAAGAATGGTTTGGTTATCAACCATCTAACTGGAAAAATTCAATGCTGCTTTTTTAATTGTTATACTTTCTTCAAGAAGGAGGCTTTAATTTTAATGTTTTACTGTGGTTGCTGGATAGGAATAGGTTGCCAGGATTGCTGAGGTTATGGGAACAGGCCCTGGTCTCAGTTCCTCCTGCTGAGAGGGAAAAGGCAGGCTCTGGTTCACATACCTACAGGGGAGCTCAGAGAAAAATGTGACTCCAGGCAGAATTTGGGACTTAAAAAGGAAAGGGGAGGGGGCACTTATAGGAAAACAGATGACTTTTAGGAAAGATAATGGGCCCTTAGGAGAATAGATGTGAGACCAGATAGTTTTGTGGCAGTGTCTGTTTGGGTGTGGTACAAAATGAGAGGATTTATGACAGTTGAGTTCTTTTGGAAGGTTCTAGTTATAGTCAGATAAAGGAACTTCAGAAAAAAAGGACTTCTTTCTACGCCAAACGCCTTCAGCTCAGAATTCCTATGCCACAGTGGTGTAGTCTGCACCCCTTCTCTTCCGTACAGGCGTCTTCAAACTACGGCCCGCGGGCCACATGCGGCCCACAGAGGAGTCTGATCCGGCCCGCCAGGTTTTTTGGGCAGTGAGCGCAGCCGAGGTGTTACAGTAGGAATTAGTAGTTCATATAGTCCGGCCCTCCAGCTCTCTGAGGGACCGTGATCTGGCCCCCACTTTAAAAAGTTTGAGGACCCCTGGAAAACCTCCCAAGAAGCTTAACAGACCAGAAGCTGAGCTGGTGGCTGCGGAGCAATCTGTGCTAGAGGGTGGGAGGTTAGAGATCTGCAAAGGAAAAGACGTAGATTTACAGAGAAACAAAAGGAAAAGAAATTAGTATTTGGAGCAGATTATAAACTCAGATTTTGGGTCCAGAGGGGCAGTCCAAAGGATCTCTAGATGTTGGTCTTGCAGTGTCTTCAGACGGGGTAACATGGCAGTGGCAGCCCACAGAACCCTGCTCTGGTGAACATCCTCTCTGTAAAAAATCAATAAAATAAATTTTAAAAAATAAACATAAAGGGTAACAAATTTTATAAACATGAGTTTTTATCTAGTCAGAGCAGCTAAGGGGAAGGCAGATCACTAAAGAATTTAAACAGAATTTTTGCTGTTGATACAGCCATTTGGAGAAGCAATACTGACCCCCATTCTAATACACTTTAAATATCTAGTATTTTTTCACAAGACCTTTAAGTACTACCTGTTTCGATTGGTAACTAGTGTGGAAAATTATCACAGGAATATTTCCTACTAGAAAAACCCTAAAACCTGACTCAAGAAATTCAATTACAGGCATGTGAGTGACCTAAAATCGCCCCTATCTGGTTAGCTCGGCAGCTAGCAATATTCCAGTACCACCCACCGATCACAGTTTGCTCTGCTCATAGTTCCTTTCAACCCTATTTAACAAGACCTCTCCATTGCTTTAAAGAGCACAAGAAACTAGATTGTCATTGATAGTTTAAATTGTCACAGAGTTGTCATAAAGTTCCCAAACGTCTGGCCATGTTAGATCTGCACGTCATCACTTTTTTTTTTAATATATATTTTATTGATGTTTTACAGAGAGGAAGGGAGAGAGATAGAGAGCCAGAAATGTCGATGAGAGAGAAACATGCCCTTGACCGGAATCGAACCCGGGACCTTTCAGTCCGCAGTCTGACCCTCTACCACTGAGCCAGACCAGTTTCGGCATGCAGGTCATCACTTTTAAACAAAGTTTGCAGGTTGTGGCAGGGCATATGTATTAGAGAAATCTTTAAGCACATAGTATGGTTCCCTACTCATTCTAAGATCATCTGCACCTAGGAGAAAATGATTTACAAAATGTATGATATCACATGGCTGTAGATCAGGGGTAGGGAAACTACAGCCCTGCCCTAGCCGGTTTGGCTCGGTGGCTAGAGGTTCAGCCTGCGGACTAAGAGGTCCTGAGTTCAATGCCAGTCAAAGGCACATGACTGGGTTGTGGGCTCAATCCCCAGAAGGGGATGTGAAGGAGGCAGCTGATCAATGATTCTCCCTCATCATTGATGTTTCTATCTCACTCTTCTTCTTTCCTCTCTGAAATAATTAAAAAATATATTTAAAAACAAACAAACAGCCGAAACCGGTTTGGCTCAGTGGTAGAGCATAGGTCTGGGGACTGAAAGGTCCCAGGTTCGATTCCGGTCAAGGGCATGCACATTGGTTGTGGGTACATCCCCGGTAGGGGGTGTGCAAGAGGCAGCTGGTCGATGTTTCCCATTGATGTTTCTAGCTCTCTAGCTCTCTCCCCTCTCTGTAAAAAATCAATAAAATATATTTTAAAAATAAAAAAATAATAAAAACAAACAAAAATACAGCCCAGAAGTCAAAGCCAGGTTGTATGGGCTGCAAAGTTTAAGAATGACTTTACACTGTAGCGGTGTTGTGTAAACATGCAAAGGAAAAAGACCTGCAAAGCCTCCAAGTCTCCCCCCTGGTTCTGAGAGACCGTCAGCAAATGAGCCCACTCCTGGAACCCCCTAGTCCTGGCTGCCTTCTCTGCAAGGTGATTCGTGTGCGTTTGTCAGGATGAAATGTTTTATACACGTAAGATATCGCTCACTTCTTTGTTGAGTATAATTATAAGATTTGTGTTTAAATATTTACACTATAGAATTATTTCTTCATATCAGTTTTTCTAAAATGGCAGCAGTTTGCTGCAAAGTGCCTAAACCTTTGAAAAAATTAAGATTTTGTTTTTATTATAAAGGGAGTTCTGGTCCATTCTGTAAAGTCCAAAAATACTAGTTGCATTAATTTTTTGAGTTGACTTCCAGAAAGTTGAGATCTTTATATCATCTTTTTTTTATCATGCCATATAAAATGTGTCATATTGCAAAGGAACTAATAAGCTATATTGTAGTCATGTACACTTTTTTTTTAAAGTTCAAAGTCCTTCCACAATTAGTCCTTATTTCTTTTTGGTTCCTCTATATAGCACTAAGTTGTTTAATACTAATTAATACATGAGACTATTTTAAGAAGTAGATATTATCATCAATTTCTGTAGAATGTACTGATTGGGCATTATTTACTGTCAAGGGTTATCATACTTTTAATATTTCTAAGTCATTTATCAATGTGACCAACTGATAAACTATTCAAGTTAATATATGGTTTCCTATTTTCATTTTGGTGTAGTCTGCTAGCAATTATTTAATAAACATAGGTTGTACTGAAACCATTTTCCGGTGATCTCCGGTCTGCTTATTTTCCCATTTGATTTGCCAATCCACAATAATTTTTCTAGAAGGTAGTGGAATTATGATATTTATCTAATCTGCTATAATGCAGGCTATATTTTGGCATTAAATTACCCTTCTGTGGGTGACAGTATAAGTGATACTGTTTTGAATAAAACTCCTGGTAATGTCTTATCCCTGGTTTATATGTAAAATATCTGTACATTTCTATAAAGGCAGGGCCACCATGGTTAGTTGCATAGTTTGTATACTGCACAAAGGCTCTCGGTGGGGGAGGGAGGTCATGGAAGCTGAAATCTAACCTCTGCTCAGCTGGTCAAAGTAAGCGCCTGGTAGGGTTGTATCACAGGACACGCCTTATTCCAATTCCCAAGGGAAGGGAGCCATATAGGCCAGCAGTGGTCCTGGGCATGGGAAAGAATGCTTAGTAATTATGCTAGGATTTTTGTCTTTAGTCTTAAACTATACTTGGCACCTTTGGACTCCAAGCCTGGGGTAGTTACAAGGCTAACAACAGCAAGAAGGAGAATATGCAAAAGAGATGGATATGACCTGCAAAGCCTCAGAGGTTCACTCTCTGGCTCTGGGAGTTTGCCTCCCTTCTTTAGACCTTCAGCACACGAGCTTCAGAGAGAAGTCTGGTAGCTTTCCTGCAGCGGGCACCGGGGGTGTGGGCGTGGTTCATTCCCAGGCCCGGAGCATTCAGCTGTCAGAAATCCAGGTGAGAAACC